AAAGCAAGCCAAAGTAGGGGAAGGGGGGAGCAGCGAAAGGATAAGGCAGAAGGGAAGGCGAACGAGGGACAGAAGGAATCCTGAAAAGCACGGGAAAGTAGAAAGTAGGAGCAAGGAAATCAGACGAGGGTCTTGGAATGTATGCGGGTTTGCCACAGATGAGCGTAAAAGATTCGAAATTGCCGAGCAAGCAGCCGAAAAAGACCTGGACATAGTCGGAGTCCAAGAGTCGTGGGAGAAGGACGGGGGAGAAATAGGAAAAGAAGTGGGAAGCTACACATGGATAGGTAAAATGAGGAGAGGACAGAAAATCAAGAGTAGAGGGGAGGGGGGAGTTGGATTCTTAGTCAAGGAGCACATGTGCGACGTAATTGAGGTGATCAGCGACACCAAATTCAACGGAAGCATATGGATGAGGGTACCAGGGGAACGGGGAAGGAAGGACTTGCTCGTAGGAAATGTATATATACCACCAGAGTCGAAGAATATGGTGAAGGACATCAAGATAGGGTTCGAGGAGGTAGCAGCGGATGTACAAAACTTCAAGAGAAAGGGAGAAGTAGTTTTAGTTGGGGACTTCAATTCAAGAATCGGGCGAACCACGAACCCACACGGAGCCATCGGGCAATACGGGGAGGGAGCCACGAACAAAAACGGGGAAGAAATGCTGAGGTTCCTTGACAGTAGCGAGATGAAGGTGTTGAACGGTAGAGTACGAAAGACAGAACCGGAATGGACTAGGCAGTGTTTAAAAAAAGGAGAACGCTCCATCCTTGACTACATAGTCGTAGAGAATGGGGGGAAAGAGACGGAAGTACGAGTATGCACAACGGATGTAGGCACTACAGACCATGCGTTGGTGTGGACAGCCCTACAACAGACGAGAGTCATACAGAGTAGGCGACGCAGGAAAATGTACAGATGGAAAATAGATAAGTTAGAAGTAGAAGAAACGAGGGTAGAGTTTCAAGAAGAGATGGCAAGAAACTCTCGGAGTTGATAGAGGCAATGGGCACACCGGAGGATGCCAAAGGTCGGGACCAGGCCGGATCTAGAATCATAGAAGGGTGGGAAAAGCTGGTAAACACAACG